GGTAGTAGATTGAGTGTGTGCTGAATGATAGATAACATGATTTACCAAAGAAAAAGTGTAAAGGTCTCTTTAATTTTTTTCCCCCTGGTAGTCAAATTATGTCCAAATCAGTTTGATTACTTTAGAGACTTAGAAACTAAACATTCCTCTAAATTTCTTTGCAAGGTTGCTTATTGGTATATGTACAGTCCCCCTGTAAATTGGGCGTTTCTTAATACAGTCTTTGCCAATGAAATGAATATGGCAGATGTTCCAGAGCAAACTGTGTTGTAGATGTTTTTGTTTTGTTTAGGGTTTTTTTGTTGTTGATTTGTTTTGGGTTTGTTTCTTTTCTGAAGAGACTGCTAAAATAAATAATAAGGCACTTCTGTTTGGACAGGTTTAGTGCTTTCAGGGCATGCTCTTCTGTAGCTGAAGAAAACGAATTGTCCTGCATCTTCTAGGTGACTGTTGATTATTTATATTATGAGAGTGCTTAAGACTTGCAACCAGATGAGGCCCTCATTATACTGACACTGAAGTTTTATTATTAATGTGTTGTCCAAAAACTTCAGTCAAATGAATGAGATGGATAAAAAATAAAAAATCACAGAAATTTTAGGAATAGCGTTTCCCAAAATTTTCATGAGACTGCCAGGAAGCAGAAGCTAAGTCAGTAAAGACTAGCTCAGCTCTGCTGTAAAACAAGATATGTGGCTTGGACATTTCCCCATTTTCCATCTCTCTACACTTTTTGAATACAAACTGAAAGTTTTGTCCCTTTTGAATGAGGGAAGCTTGAACCCAAGAGCTGTTTGAAGGTACTGCATTCATTTCCCTGTCTCTTGGGACTCTGTATGCTTGACTAGGACATTCCAAGACTTTTTTTTCCAGTTTCTGTAAGTACAAAGAGCACCTGGAAGAAGCTCAGTCCATATATTTACATTCTACTTGAACTACAGAGTAAACGTCTGTTGAGGAGCTCAGTACGGTTCTCATGGTTTAATGAGTCTTCTTTACAAAGACACTATCTTGCTGGGAGGTGACAAACCCTCAGAAGTGGCATCACATGCTGGCAAGTTGTGAATGAGAAAAACACATCACTGACTTTTAACTGGAATTGAAGCAAGTTTTTCAGGATAGATCAAAAATGCAACTATTTCAGCATTGGGCACTAAAAATGTAAGTATAGACACAGCCTGAGGCACTACCTCCTTTTACAAGCAGAATATAAAATCCTAAAGCTCTTGAGAAAATCTGCATCCCACAAACATGAATCAGCACTGACAAAGCTACTTGAATTACAGCAGAAACAGGTAAGTAATCCTTCTTTCCACCATCTTGCATTGCTAACACCTCTGGCATTGGTAATTTGTGGGAGCCAACAGGCACCTCAGGGTCATGAAGGAAAAAGGCAGTGCCTGGAAGATTATAGTGTGGTTGACATTTAGGCAAAGGCCATGTGCGATCTACTCCTGATTTAGAGGAACATTGGAATTAAACATGAAGGGTGAACTGAAACAGTTTCTAAGGGAAAAGCAGGTGAGAGCACGTACTTCAGAGAGTAGGTACCTGTAAGAGCAGGTACTTTGGATCTGAAGGTTTATGAAGCTGGTTGGAGGAGGTGATCCATTGGAAGGGCTCCACTTGCACTGTATGTGCGTTCTTGCAGCATCACAGGCAAAACTGTCCTGAGCTGGGGGATTTTCACCCTCAAGCACACCAGCCTTTCCTCTTCTTTCGAAGAGAGAAACCCAAAACCTATTTTAATGTACATACACTTTACAATTCTATCCCCACCACCAGGGAAGGCAAAGACTTAACCATGTAGCATGGGTTGTACTGGGGATTACTAATTAGGCTATGTAATTAGCGCTCACCTGTTTTTTTCTACCATGTCTTCTCACGAGACCCCAGTCTTGTGTTCCCTTTTTTTAGTTTCCTTGATAAATAAAACACAAGGATCTTTTCCAGTTTTTTAATGAGAGATACCATATTCGGCTGAATTTCACAAGGACCTGAAGTCTGGGGTGGGGGAAGGCAGATGAATCACATCTGTCTGTATACAGCCTCTCATATGGGGACTCCTGCCTGCTACTGTGGGACTAAGAGTATGCTGATTTCATGGCACCTTTCACATTTTATACATCTGTCTTGTCCAATCTTAGTTTTATTTATATTTCTCTACAATAAGACCTTTTTTCAACAATTCTGTTATTGATCAAACCAACCTTGTATCTCAGCTGCATTAACTAAAAATGCAATCGTGCATTGGAATTTAAAAATAATGACAACTTTCTGCTGGCTTTGTTTTGAGCCTCATCCAAATGAACACTATGGCTCCTTACAGTCGTATTTCAGAGACATTTACTTACTCTATTAATTTGAGGCTTTTTTGCAATTTAAGATTAGGATTATAGTTTACCATTAATGTACTTCAGTATAATGCGGCTGTCATGTTCTGCAAGATCTGTAATGAAATAGTATATGTAATTGTAAATAGTAGAGATGATTATAAAGAATAAGGAAAGTAGAAAAGTACATGAGAGAAGTAGAAGCTTAAAAAATGTTGATGACAGTGGATATTTAAAATAATTGGTTAATTTAGTAATCAGTTACATTGATGTAAATAGGTCATATTTTGTCTGTGTTGCACTATGTTCAATTATAATTTTCCATTATAAAATTGATTATTTTTTGTTTCCCAATTACAACATCTTATGAAAAATATTAAATGGTGATCTGCACTTGGTGGCTTCAGCCTGTCATGGCCTCCTCAGGAAGGCAGATGTTATCTGGCTAGGATCACCTTCCTAGGGACTCATTAGTTAACAGGGACAGAGCTCCTCCAGAAGGTGATTCAGAGCATGACTTTAACAGGGTGCACTGCATTTGGTTTTCTTTTGCACAAGACCTTTCTTCCATTTACTCCTATTGTTAAACAGCTGTTATCTCAATGACTTTGCATTGCAGTATTCAAGCCTGCAAGAAGAATGATTGCTGCTAGTAAAATGCTCATTTGGCTTGGGTTTCTCATAGCGATCTTCATATTTAATTTTATTTCTTTGTTGGTTACAACAATGACATGAGACCTTTCCCTTTGTAAAGGACTTATTATCCAGCAGGGAAAATTGGTTGTGCATTGTTCAAAGAAAGTCAAAGAAAGTCCCAAATCCTGAGCTACAGAAATGTTTCCATTTGCCTTTTAAATGAATTTGTTTGAGCGTATCTGTAAATAGATTTTGGTTTTGTTGTGGTTTTTTTTTTTTTCATTTGCAGACATATTTCATGGTAAAACTCATTCAGCAGACACATTTCTCTCTCTTACATATATCTCATGCTTTCACTCATACTGGAAGCACTGAGGAGTGCAAAAATTCAGGTAGGGAGGAAATTAATTCATAAATGTCATTATGTCTGTGTAGAATATTGTCATTCGAGAAAATTTCAGCTCTGGAATGTCAACACCTAACATAATTTCATCCTTTACTGAAAAGTCCGCCACATGCTGAAACTACAAGGAAGAATGACACACAGAGAAATTAATAGCATTATATTTAGTAACAGACAAGTTATAGAATATGAAAATTTGGTATTACTGAAGGACTATTATATTCTGGAAGAGACCATTCCGTTTCTTACCAAGTGGAAAAATTATTTCTGTGGCTTACTCTTATCCATGCAATAAAGCCCCTGTGTGCTTCACAAGTCCAAAGTGTAAACTGGTTGCTCATAATATATGCCTCTTTCATGGCAATGGCATTACAGTATGACTGTAATGATTTTGTTTATGAGATGACATCCTTGTTAGTCTTAGGTTTCTTAGGATGTTGGGTGGGGTTTTTTTGGAGGGGGTCTGGGTTTTGTTGTTGACTTTGTTATTGTTTTATTTTGTGGTGGTTTGTGTGGCTTTTTTCTGGAGGGCGGTGCTTGTCTTGTAACTTGAGCACAGCTGTGGGACTTGAGCAGGCAGTGACAGTTCTGCAGGAAGTCCTGGTATTCTGTGATACAGTTTGAGTAGTGTTTTGGCAGCTACTGCCACCCCATGGTTTTCCATATTGGATGAATGCTGCAGAGCTTTAATATGTTACATTTCTCCAGAAACTTCTTTTAGGTCGGAGAGAAGACAATGAATATTGACTTTGTCTTACTCCCTCCTTCTCTATGTCCCCTTTCCAGAAAAATCCCATCTGCAAAGAAAATCTAGTATGGCATGAGCGGTCATAGGTGGCATTAGGATGGCAGAGTCCTTTCCACTGTATTTACAACTATGCAATTGAATATTAATTTTGGTTCCCTGGGTTTTCACTAATTGATTATATCTGTTTTGGCAGGGTATATTTTGCCCTTTTTAAAAGGAGCTTCAAAATGTACATCTGGAGAAAGCTTCTGAAACCTATTTCTTAAAGTTGCTTCTGCTTTGGGAATCTGTGTTTACATCATAGATGCTACATATAGACAGATCTGGGTTAAAGCAATCTGGTCTAAACAGAGTGTCCTTTGAGCATTGCTTTCAGCAGAGCTTTGCCCTCCAGACGCCAGCAAGTGCCCAGCTGAAGGCTCTGATGTGGAAAGTTTCAGACACCATTATTCCACTCATTTCCCTGTGTCAGCCAGGGAATACCCTTGGTGGGGAAGAAGATTTTTTTTTCCTTTTGAGGAAGTGGCAAGAGGGATTACCTCTCATGTTGTATGCCTCTTTGAGGCTGGAAGCTTCTTTCCCTTTGACCAACTCAACTGAAACCAGGCATCAGTGTAGGCAGTAGAAATTAACGCAGCTGGCTTGTGGACAGACACATTGGACTGTGGACTCACTCATGTATTATAGTGCATAGGCATTGGTTTCCCTGATATATTACTGGGGACTCTCAACTTCCATTCCCCCCCCCCTCCGCTCCCAACCTCAAACCTATGCAGTTTAAGAAGCATGAGAGAGCACCCACTGCTCTTTATCTGTTTTTTCCCAGCTGATATGAAACTTGGATCCCCTTTCCTTGAGCCGGACTCCCAGCGCCTCCGCTGCCGGCTCGCACCGGAGCTGGCTCTGGGGGCTCCCCCAAGCCGGAGCGCTCCCCGTTGCCGCGGTCAGCCTCCCTCTCCTGGGGGCTGAGCAGCTCCTCTCCGCAGTCACCTGTAGCTAACGCTGCTTTTTCTGCATTCCTCCGAAAAACAGCTATTCTCAGCCCCGATCCCTTCCCGCGTGTTTTACTTAAGCGAACCAAATGTCCATGTTCCAGGAGCGGAGATGATGTTGCCTCTCTGGGAAAGATGCGGTCTTCCCTTTCCTTGTCGCTTCCCTGCGCCCCACAGGGCTGCAAGCAGGGGACCGGGAGGTGTGGAGGGCTGGCTGCGCTGCCCCTGCCCCCGCCCCGGGGAGGAGCCTCGGCCCCAAATAAGGTGCGATTTCACCTTTCGGTTCGTCTTCCCGGAGCGGTGCTGGAATTACGGCCGTCCCGGTCCCCGAGGCGACCCGGTTCTCTGCTTGTGGCTCTGCGCTCCGCCGGCGGTCCCCTCTCCCAGACCCGACGTGGAACGGCCGCATTCCCCCCTGTAAAATGAGGGGAGCGGGATCTCCGCGCGGGCAGCGGGAGCTGCTGTTGCGCCTGTCGGAGTTCAGCATGGAGGGAGGTAAAACAGCCACCTGAACGCGGAGAAACGCCCGAACCACAACAAGTAGTCTCGCCTTGCTGGGCGGCACGGAGAGCGACTGGGGCCGGAGTCCACCCGGGAAGAGAAGCCGCCGTCGCTCCTCTGGCAAAGGTAACGGCGGGGCGGCGGGAGGGACCCGCGGGGCTGGCGGCGCTGATCCCACCTGCCATTCCCCGAGATGCGCGCTCGGCTTCGTGATTTGTCTGAGAAAGTAGCGAGGCGAGCTCCGCACAGACAGCCTTTCCCGGGGTTTGCTTGCTGCCTGCGCTTATGGAGTGCTTGGTATTTCTTCCCAAAAAGCAACCCCTTCCTCCCTTCTGCGGTGGGGGCGGGGGAAGAGGAAAATAGCTAAGCCTTCCTTTTTTTCCCCCTCGTTAAGCTGTTAGGACAATAAAAGATAGATGCCCATTAAATAATTAACCTCACACTTTCTGTTCCATCAGCTCGGTTCCCGCAGCCCCGCGAGGGAGAAGGGGGTGGTGACGGTGGCGGATCCGTACGCGGGAGAAGCAGCAGCAGTGCCATTTCGGTAGCCCGCTTCCAGGGGAAGCGGGAGACAGTGCCCGGGGCGGGCAGGTGGCAGAGCCCTCCTCAGAGAAGCGTGCGGAGCTGCCCGGCGGTGGGGCTGGCCGGCGGGGCTGGCCGGCAGGGCTCTCCCGGAGTGCGGGTCGGCGGGAGATTTCGGGGATGGAGGGGGCTGGGGCAGGTCGCAAAGGCGGGGAATAGCCTCCCTGCGTGGTGCCTGGGGGCTTCTCCTCTATTTTTTCTATTTGCGTTTAAGGCAGAAGCTCGTCTCCCGCGGACCTGCCGGCGACCAGCTGCCCCCCGCCCAGCGACCGGCGCCCCCACCCAATCCCCGCCGCAGTCTCCAGCGCTCTCCCCAGTCATGTCCCACCCGGAGCGATGGGGAAGCTCGAGGACAACGAGAGAGTGATCCTCAACGTGGGGGGCACGCGGCACGAGACCTACCGCAGCACCCTGAAGACTCTGCCGGGGACCCGCCTGGCTCTGCTCGCCTGCGAGTCCCAGAGCGAGTCCCCGGGCGGCGAGGAGCGGCCGCCGCCGCCCCCCAACCCGCCGCCGCCGCCGGCGGGCGGCTGCCCGGAGCCCGGCAGCGGCTGCAGCCCCCGGGGCAGCGGCGGCACCAGCGAGTTTTTCTTCGACCGGCACCCAGGGGTCTTCGCCTATGTGCTCAACTACTACCGCACCGGCAAGCTGCACTGCCCCGCCGACGTCTGCGGGCCCCTCTTTGAGGAGGAGCTGGCCTTTTGGGGCATCGATGAGACCGACGTGGAGCCCTGCTGCTGGATGACCTACCGCCAGCACCGTGACGCCGAGGAGGCCCTCGACATCTTCGAGGCACCCGACTTGCTGACGGGCGAGCCGCCCCCCGACGGCGACGACGACGACCTGGCCGCCAAGAGACTGGGCATCGAGGACGTGGGGGCGGCCGCCGAGGGCAAGGGCGGGCGCTGGCGGCGGCTGCAGCCCCGTGTCTGGGCGCTCTTCGAGGACCCCTACTCCTCTCGAGCCGCCAGGGTAAGCGCCGCCGGCCGGCGCTCCCGCCCGGGGGCTAGGGAGGCCGGCAGTCTGCCGAGGTCCCCTGGAGAGGGAGGCAGGGAAGTGGGGCATCAAGGGGAAGCTCGCCCTGCTCGGGGTGTGAGTGCAGAGTGATGCTTTTGGTGGGCTACTGCATAGCGGGGACGACGGTCCCCGTGAGGTGATGGTGCTTTTCTCCTCCACATCTGCAGGTGATGTCAGGCAGCATGGCGGTCCCTCTCTGCCAGCATCTTCCCCATGGGAGTGCACATGGGGTGAGGTGGGAGCTGTGCCCTGGGGAGCCTGCAAGGGATTCACGGTCACCCCCCTGGCCTGGGTGGGGGTGTGGAGGTGTATTCGCTGGGGGACCTGTTTGTGTGTGTGTGTGTGAACAGGAACAGCCCCAAGGTGCCCTCATCCTCCCTGAGCACCTGCATGAAGGGGCCTTTGGGGCCAGGACGGCTGGCCCGAGATCTTGGGTTTGAGGTAAGGTGGTGGCAGCGACACGGGAGAGTGATCTCAGCCCTTTCTCAACTTTGCTCTGTCTACACTGGTAGGTAATCCTGGTTCAACAAAAGTAAGTGTGACAGGGGTTTACCCTGGCTCTTTCTCCATTGATTTCTCAGGGTGACTGTCACTGGCTCTGTGACTTGAGGGTATGGGGATGAGACAGTAAGTGATCATACTGACTTTCTGTTATTTGGATAGACATTTTACGTTTTGATGCTGACTACTTTCTACTTGGATGATTTGGATTTTAGTTCTGTCTTTTAGTTGCTGTTGTCAGGTGCGATGCAGGTTTGCTGTCTAACTTGCTTTGGACCAAACAAATGGTTGTAATTCCTTTGTAAGATATATGCAGTGGTGTCTCAAATTTAACAACAAGAAAAGCAACCACCAGCAAATCCTCCCTGGAATACAAGACAAAGAACTTGTAATTGGAAATGTTTGATTATAAAATGGTAATAAGTGTTTTGCAGCATATTTATCAGGATTCCCATGAAGTACTCAGAGCTAAGCCTCATCCTGCAGAAAGTGCAGTTATGGTGGGTGTCATCTCCTGATCAGTTCCACTGATTTCACTGCCAGTCTCATAGATGTGCGTATAAGTGTGTGGTTTAGTGACTTACGGAATTGTACCCCATGGCACGATGCAGTTTCTGGCAGCTCATCCTATGAGCTTAGTGAGGTAAGTTTAAACAGAAAGTAAAAGTCCTCGCAGCTATTACTATCACTTGCTAAGTTCCAATGTTATGGTTTTGGATGTTGCCCACCTTTTTCCCTTGACAGCTGGCTCCAGCTGATTCTTAAAATATGTTTTTAATAAAGGGTGGGTTATGAAGAAGAACTACTAGAAGTGTCTGTCTTTGCTCATGAGTGACATACCCACATTGCTCGCATCTTAGCGGTCTAAATCCTAAAGAAAATTTGGCTGTCAGTTACCTGACAAAACTGTAATGCGTGTGATGATTGCCCTGCAGGTTGTCTTTCATCCACTGTTTTGTGGAAAGTTGCTGACAGGGTCAAAACTGCAGCTTTTACGATGGAGGATCTTTCCACTCAACTTTGCTGGAGAACTGAGAAGTACGGAGTAAATATTGAATGGAAGATACCAGGAGAAACAGAAAGATAGGCATGCTGATTGTAGTTATGTCCTGGAGGTATAGCTGGGTTTTCAGTCCAGGCTTTGGCAGAACCTGTGGGCGCTCGCTTTCCAAATTTTCCATTTGTACTAGATCATCCTGAACTGTCAGTGGCTTGGGTGAAGAGATTTCAAGTTTGCAAAATGAATACTGTAATTAACACTATAATAGCAAATTGCAATATGGCAGTGTTAGTGTCTTAGAAGATAGAGTATTTACCTTTTTATAACTTAAAGACTGGTTTTAAACATTTTATTCTGATTTCAACCCCAGGCAGCCAGACTAAGGCGGCGTCAGAACCATAACAACAGAATCTAAATCAGTGTTTTCATTTTCTCAAGGCTGCTACTCTGTGCTTGGTCTTTCAGGTAGGGAGACAACTTTGAGAATTTCTGGCAAGTTTTAAAGCGTTCAGGTGAATTTGTATTTAAGGACTTGCATGCACTTAGTAAGCATTCTTGAACACAGTAATTTAAGGTGATGGTAACCTTAGTTTGGAACTGAGACATTACTGTGAATTCAACATTTTTCCCCACCTGAAAAAAACGCCTATTATTTTCTGAGTATTCTGGCAAATACCCTCTTGTCTTATGTCATTTGAGATGATGACTAACTCTAAAAACATTCGAATGAAATCCTGGCCTCACTGAAATCAAGACAAAACTGTGAACATCAATCTTCGTCTCATAGTGTTAGCTACTGACTCGTACACCACTTAGATTATGGTGAGGCTGCTTAGTGGTAAACTTTCCTAAGAACTGTGATAATTATTTTTTTTTTTAGGTTTACTGTGTGATTTAAGTTCAGCAGTGTCTTTTTCGGGAGGTATGATGGTGATAAAAATGGGATATTTTCTGTTAATGAAATGGTACTTAATATTTGTGATTTTCTTTATCCTAAACTGTGATCTCTAAAAATAGAAATTTATAGAAATTCAAATATAGGTTGCCATGGTAACCTCTTCAGGGATAGTGCACGCACAAGATTATTCTAGCAAGACCATCCAGTGATGTTATATAAATAGTGGAACTAGTTTATTGACAAGAAGGTTTACTGTATTTGTAATTCTAAAAAAAAAATCAACTTTTAGTGCATGCAGTTTGATATGCAGATAGTGACATCTACTAAATATAGAGTTTGTAAATATAAAATGTAATCCATGTACATATGATTACTTTGAAACCTGCAACACTTTTCTTTGTTTCCCAAGTTCAGGAGTTAGGTCTGAATGTTATTTCTGTTTTCATTTCATTGTTTTGGATTTCACAGACTGTGAAATTAAATTAAAGAGTACAGCGGTACTCCTTTCTCTCCAGGCTTAATAGACTGATCATTCACATTCTATTTGACAGAATGCTGTTATGTAGATATGGGAAGCTACATAGGATACTGTCATAGGAGGAGAAGTGCTGAGCAACTAAATCTTTCTGTGCGTTGGTTTCAACGTCTCTGAAACAGGCACCTGATCCTTATCTGACTCAAATGTGCACTGTTAGTTTTGCTAGTTAATACCTGTAAGTGATTTTGGTGTCCTTCGATGGCTCAGAAGTGCCAGCTTTAGTAAAAATGCAAAGATACATCCCAATAGTTTGTAAGAAAGTACAAGAGGCAACATTAAGCACTGAGTTTAAAAGAGTGTCTGCAGATGTCCAGCAGGAACTAGAAAGTGCTTGTCTCAGGTTTCATATTTCAAAGTAATTAAGCCTTTAAGGCCTTTTTACTTTTGAATAATATGTGAAACATGATGCTGTTTAAAGAAGTAATTAGTATTTGTCACTGATTTTTCCTAAGGATTATGTGTTACTCCTATACTTAGTTCAGGAATGCAAAAACGGCCCCAGGATTCACCAAGTTTGTAGGTATATATCCTTAACTTTTTGAGAAGACTGTAAATCTGTTCACGGATAAGAAGACAGCACCTGTGAAGTTGGGTGGTTCAGCAGTGCAAGAGTCAGCATGGCCCAGGGTATTCAGGGTGGCACTGCCATTTACAGCAGCTGAAGGCAAGTTACACAACCCCTTTGCTATATGGTCTTTATCTCTGGGAAAGATCCTTAATTACTTGGTTTACAAGGGAAATATAAAACCTAATTATGAAGCATTCGTCAAGTTTCGTATAAGTAAGTATTCACTGCAATGCAAATAAAATTGCAAAAGCCTCGCGGTCCAGGCATCAAGATACATACTTTGCAAGTGTTCTTAAAAATATGGATGCTGCTTCACTGTGACATGAGGAGCTGGATTTGAGCAGTGGGCAGTATTGTTGGAGGGAAGTACAAAGTTCCCATCTACGACTTTATGTGATGCTAAATTGTCAGAGATTCCTTTCAGTGTCCTGTAGCAGCTTTTCCAGCTTTGAATGTTCAGTGAGGTAAAGAATCAGGTGAAATGAGTGAGATGGGAAAAATATAATTTTATAGACCCTCTTGAGAGGCTAAAGGCACAGAAATTATACTGGAGAAAATTCTTATAAAAGGTAACTTATGTCTTTATTTGATGGCTTGCTTACCTAGGTACCTGTTTTGATACGTGTCAAGAAAGCCTTGATTTAGGAAGCCTGCCGTACACTATGGTGAATGACAAAAGTTAGTTATATTTTTAGGGCTTTGCCTGTTCTGATGCAAGACAGGTTTTATTTCTGGTGGAAACAACACTGCTGCGATAGTCTGAAATACTGTGAATGGAGTGGTGAAGATACATTAATCTCAGAATATATGTTTGTAGATTAATAGTGAATAGCAAAGATTGTTTGCTTTCTTAAGTAATAGAAAGCCTTCTAATATATGTGGAAATCTTTATCTCTGTCTTGTATTCAACAAGGAAAGCAAATACACTTCAGATTTTACCATTTAATTATTAGGTAGGCAGACATCTTCTATATGAAAATGATACAAAGAAAATAGAAAAGGTTGATACAGAAGTTGCAAGGAAGGTGTTGCTTTTACCATTTTGGTAATCGAAGTGCTGAATTTATTTGTAAGTGAGAAAATAGTCCATTAGATTAAATTGGTGAAAACCAAGTCATTTTGCCTGAAGCATTTAGACTATGGGAGCTGTCCTTTTTAAAGACATGAGAAGATGTGTTCTTAACGACAAGAATCATAATGCATCACTGTTACAGATATTCATACACTCTGTAGCTTCATGTGTACATGGACTGACTAAATCACATGATAAGTAATTTTTATTAATTCTGGCATACTGGCTTTTAAAAGTCTTAATTGGAAATTCTAGCTTAATATATGATGTATACAATGTAAACTACTGTGATCTACGTGAAGTATAGATGGTCTCTGATGGTACTGATATCAGTGAGGTAAAATCAGCAAGATTTCTGCCTTCCGAACTTATGCCTTT